ATCTTCTTAGCTGTATCAAGAAGTAAATAATAGGCCTTCGGCGAAATAGTTGGCCTGCATGGAATTTATTAACCAGACATAATAAGAAATTCTCGGATTTCTATTGTTAAAAGCCTGGATCTGTCGGAACCTGGTTTAGCTTGTTGCCACCCATCAAGGTATCCTGCAAACGCTCTTGCTTCAATTGAATAATAAGCAAGATCGAGACCAAGGCAACAGGTAGTTTGTTCCATCTAACTTCACCGGACTAATCTGAAAGAGAGGGCTCTCTGAGTGAAAAAAACCCATATCTACCTCCCGTTTTCCGTCAGCCAATGCTCAGAAAAAAATTTTTAAGCGGCAGTGGCGAAGAAACTGGCAGCGGCCAGAAATCAACCAAAAAAACAGGAAAAAATTGCAAAAAGCAAAAAATTGGTGCTGAAGAACCAGCAAGGGAAGAACGCCACACAAATCGAGGGCCGTCGGAACAAAAAAAAACGTCGACGGCATCTCGGCCGGAACAGACCGACACGCCTGGCGCGTGAAGAACGCCGAAAAACTTCTGGCGGCGCGTGATGCACACGCGCGTGGTCGGACAGCCGACGCGGCTTGGATTGGAGGGCCGATCGGCAGTCCCTCTTCCTTCTGAGCTGGGCGGATGACGAGGCCAACTCCTAACTCCGGTGCACTGTGTATATCTCAGCCCTGTTCAAATCGAACGTCGCCGAAAAAATTTTCACGGCAATGCGCTCTGATCCCATGTTGAAAGAATATTTCGAATTTCTTTTTTATTGTGTGGTTAATATTTCAAATCTCTACATCCACTAATATATATAACACAAGATTGTTCCAATTATGGAAGAGATCTAAATAAGAATTTAAAAAACCTAAATTAAGGAAAGACAATAAACCTAAATAGGAAAGACAATATTGATTTTTTAATTACAAAGCCTTTCAACATTAATAATTATTTATTTTATTTATATTATTTTAAATTGCATTGAGAATGGATGTCTAATTGTGCATTGCATTTACAATGTTTCAAACTGATCAATATGTCTGGCATTTACTTGGCCAATGTTTTGATTAATTGTGTTTGTGATAATGCTATGCTTGTTTGTGTGGAATTGGGATGAAGTGGGTCACCATGCGGTTTGTGAGACTGTTACTGTTATATGGATCCTGATTCTGATTTTCTATTAGCCGGGTAAATGGGAGATTCGGCGTACCCTGTATGCACCTACTGTTCTGATCTGTATGATATGGAAAAACCACGGGTTGGTTCTCTTTGGCGCACCTGATTAATCTAGCATCTTGATCGCAGCCCGCAGGGTGGCCTCCTGTTGTGAGCGCCTGCATGATCTAGATTTGCATGGAGACATCGGGTTGCCTCCTGTTGGTATGGAAAAAGAAAAGAGAGAATGGAAAAACAATTGCAGAGGGCTGGTTCAAGTGAGGGATTAGACCGCGTCGGCTATAATGGGGGATCGGCTTCCCTGGGTGCACATTTGAGAGGATGGCCATGTGGGAGGACGGCTCATCAGCGTTTTGGGTGACGCCACAGACCAATTTCCACGTTAGTGTGATTGCTTTATCGATTTTATATGAAGAAGATGTTAATGATTGGAGTGCTGGTATGTGCCATTTATGTGATGGCTGCGTGCAGCATATCAACTAGTCGGATGACTAGATTGATATGTTTACACATTTTGTACTGCGTGTGTTGTGCAATTAATTATTACTCCTTAGCGAAAACTCACATGTCTTGTTTGATTTTTTCAGGAAGTAAGGTTTTCTTAAATTCAAATTAGGGCTATGTTCTTCAGCACAGGGCAATTAGAGAAATTTTCCTAGTTCCATAATTATTTTACTATGTAATTATGTGTATAAAAAGCTATGCTATTACCAAATAGTTAGTGACTCGCAGTTAGTAGAAATTTGGTGTACAACTTAGTCGTGTATTAACATAGACGATTATAATTATTGCGGCCCATATTAAAAGATTTGATGTATTGTTAATTGGCCCCAAACTGTGAAATTTTGTAGAAGATAAAAATTGGGCCCGAGATGTAATAAAAATCTTGAGTTTTATTTTTTAGTAATATGGCCTGAATATTGGGCTGAATATTTGAAATTTATATTGAGATAGTAAATTTTAGTGTTTCAGGCTTACTACGGGCCTCGGGGGCCTTAAACTTACCTAGGCCCTAGTGTCGGTCCGGCCCATGGAAATGGTCGTGACAATAACTACTTTTTATATATTAAAAAAAAACCCCTCTACTTTTGATAACCTATTTTTATAAGTATTAAGTCACTTGGTTCAGTTTTAGATCAAATGGTTTATATTTATCTATTCTAAATCTAATGTTGGGAAAAAATTCTGCACCAATATAGAAATTTTGAAACCTGTACTATAGATTTACCCATTTATTAATATTCATATTCAATTTTGCTAGTTTTGGTTTTTAGATTATAAACTACAGAATAATTTTTTCTTCATCAAAGCTAACATTAGCTCTTTCATATATATTATTATATATATTATATATATAATTACTTTTTTCTGTTTTTAATTATTTAAGACTTATAAAGATTTAAACTTTTTTCTCGTAATATATACTTTTTCTGTTTTTAATTTTATTTAGACTATAAAGATTTAACTTTTTTCTGTATAATTCTTTTCCTTCTTCTTCTACTTCTTCATTTATTTCTGTTTCTATTTTTATTGGCTCAGTATTTTTTTTTTTTCATTGATACCATTGCTAAACAAAAAAGGTTGGAAAAAATAAGAAAGCTTAAATCCGATCAAGTATCACTTCTGTATCACTCTTTTATATTTTTTTTATTTTTTTATACTTTTTTATGTTGGTTCTTTTAATTTTATTTGGACTATAAAGTTATTCATCCTCTTAAATCAATTTTTCATTATTTTTAATTATTTTTCAAACAATTTTGGTTCATTTAATTAAATTTTTATATTTTTTTGAATCTTAGTGTTCGTATGATTTCTTGGAATGATAGTCATCAATGTAAAGTCCGGATAAATCTTATTGCAGTTATGGTCGACTTGATTATCGCAACTTAATTGACATTTATTGAGATTCAAAAAAATGATCAAGATTAATGTACTGCGAGAGCTAGAGTTAAAAAAAATGAATTAAAAAAAATTTGAATAAAAAAATTTTCATGTACTACGAAGAGTTAGAGTTTAACAAAAACTGAATTAATAAATTAGTGAAAAAATATAATATAATATAATATTTTTTATATATAATCAATTTATACATTTTAAATATATAATTTTAAAGCTTAAAAACTAGGGCTTCGAAATTTTTTAAATTTTTTAATTTTAAATAAAATATATTTAGATAAATAATTAAGACTTTTTAATCTTACTCCCAGTAAATCTGAATCGATTTGTTAATTTTGTTAGAGAAGTTCATGTAAATCTTCATCGGTTAAAGAGGTTTTCTTGTATTTTACTAATTGCTTGTATTATTGGGTATGTCAATCATTAATTACTTCTCTTTTTAATTAATATTACCTCAAATTGTTGTAATGTTTCATGTGAATTGCAGCACAACAGCCCATATTTTGATGGATTTTACTTGACCTCTTCAACTGCAACAAGTGTAATGACTAATCTAATCTCTGCTATCACTGTTGTAATAGAAATCATTTTTGAGTAAGCAAAAGTAAATTTAGATATTGCTTCTTTGATTGGTAATATTGGATGAGAAATTAAAAAATAAAATTACTAACTGTCGTAGATAAAGACTTGAAACGATGAATTTTATCTTTTAAAAGATATAAAAACTTTGTATAATTATGTGAGAATAATTGAACTACACTAAAATTATCCGCACAATGCGCGGGCCTTCATCTAGTTTTAGTATCCATCCGAATCATTAAAACATAACATCCCTAAAACTCGTAAAATGATCACAAAATAGTTTTATATTTTGCATTATTTCATTTCAAATATGTTTCCAGTTAAAATTGTAGTTGAAAGGTGGAAAAAAAAAACACCTCCCTAAGTTATAGTTATATTTAGACATGCCTCCTTCAATGTTTTGGAACTGACTTTAGCGTCCCTAATTTTTACTTCTGAACGTATCCTTCCATCCAAAATTACTCAAAATTCCATCAAATGACAAATAAAATGACCATACTAACCTTTATAATATACAAAAATTTTCATTACAATTAATTACTTCTATTCCTCCCTCTCTCTCCTCGAATCCTTCACAGAAAAAGATACGTCATCTCTCTTTGTAATGCCTATGATTTGCACTTTCTAAAATATCTCATTTTCACAAATCTAAAGCATAAATTAAGCATGGAGCTATCAATGTGAGATCAAGGCCTTCAAAAATGAAAATTATGAAAAAATAAATGGAAATAAATGAGTTTAAGCATGGGACAATTTCCTTTCCCTTTCTCATGGCAGAGATGCCATTACTGCTAATTCAATATTTTTTTTTTAACTTTCCGATCATGGATTCGTGTCCGGCCAGCAGCGACCTCCTCCCTGCCGCCGTTGCCTCACCGCTATTCTCTCTCTCTCTCTCTCTCCATATCTTTCTCGACTGGCGCAGTGATAGAGTGTGAGCTACCTTTTTTTTTCCGAATGGAGCGGCTCCACCTCAGCTTCCTTCAACATTTTATATTGATTTTCCGGCAAGACCAAGGACTGACCGGTTAGACTCTTCCATTGCTACCTCCTCCTCTCTTGTCGAATGAAAAGCAGGAGTTAAGCCGACGGAATGGAGAAGAGATCATTTTCACTGACAACATGACTCTCCGGCCAAGCTTGATTGGTTGTTCGCCGAAAACTGAGAGGCGTCAGAGGAGACAATGGACTAAAGCTTACGATCTCAAATCGCGTTACCTAGGAGAAAAGGAAAGTCTTTTTTGTGATTTTGGTTCAATTAGCTAATTCTAGAATGTTTTTAGTTTGGTTCAATAATTTTTTATGGTTTTGGTTTGAACCGGTCCAATTAAATAATTCTATAATGGTAGAATTGTCTTTTTCTTTTTTCTCTTTCCTTTAACTAACAGAAAAGTAGACTGATTTTGAATGAAGGAAGGTAATTGTGTAACGGACAGTTAATTTAAGGAGAAGTGTGTTAATCTTAAAACGTTGAAGCCCTCGGTATAAATATGGCTATAATTTAGAGAGCTTTTTTATGTTTTTTTTTTTCTCCCGTTGAAAGGCATTTTTACATATTTATCTACACAAAAATAAGTGCCTAAGTGCAGCACAAGGCACAACGACATCGTCTCTTCCTTCTGCTACTCTGATTCCCTCCCACTGTCTCACAATTCGCGACGGCTTCACCTTCTTTAAGCCTATAACAAATCAGGATTTATTTTCCCTTTCTTCTTCTCCTCCTCTCAGCTCCCTTTTATATTGTTACTCTTCCTCAATTTCAAGCAACGAGAATGTAGAAGATATTGGTTCTGGTCATTATCATGAAGAAATCAAGAAAAACCATGTATGGGAATCCGAAATGTTTGGCTTTTGATCACTCTCGCTAGGAAATTGACACTCTGGACGGTATGATTGTGCTTGCCATTCTAATTTTGTTTTCCTCTGTTCTTAGTATGAAAATGCTTGCCGGATTGAAGTGGGTCGACTGCGAGTCGCCAGACAACAATCCCGTTGCTGTCTAGCGATGCGAGAAGCGGATAGCACTTTTTTTTTTTTCTTGACGTAAAATCTCTTGCTCTCTTTTCTTTTCAGAACAAGAAATACATGTTTGCTTAAACTGATTCTGGATATCCTTTTTCTTTTTTCTTTGTGCCTTTCAAATTCTTATTGAAGCTTAATTTTGTTTCTTTTTGTTCGTTAGAGTTATCCTGTTCCCTTTGTACTATGGACTCTGTTTTCCAAAGTTCATTTTTAGCTTTGTGTCAACAAGAATTATTTTTAAGAAAGGCTAAATGCATTTAGAGGCCCTTTTACTTATCTAATAAAATGTGAAGTCGAGCCTTCATGATTAGGGGATGTACACGGTCCTGTTTCGCCATTAAGTAGCAAAAATATGCTTGTTTTGAAACATATAAGCCCAAAATTAGTGGAAATGTGCAGCAATATGAAATTATAAACTAATCTCTAAGCACACAATATATGTGGTTATATCAAGTATCCTCATTATAGATGAGCGGCTACCTAATTTTGATTCTCGTTGTACTGCATTCTTAGACTTAGTAATTAGTATCCCAAATTTCTTCAAATTTCAGGTGCATAGTAATATGATTTTCTCCTTTGAATAGATTTTTTCATGGAGATAGATCTTGAGCTCCCTTCACTTGAGCAGGAGAAACTAGATACCGGATCAAATACAAATATTGATGCCATGGATAGTGCAGATGGACTGCATGTTAGTGACGAGGAGATAAAATCTCCTGCAAGTGAACAAGTTGCACGACCCTGTGTGCCAAATGAAAATGAGCACTGCACTACTAGCGGAGAAAATGTTGAAGGGAATAGTATTAGAGCCGTTGCCAGTAAACATTTGATGTGTGAGCCCCGAAATGGTTTAGTATTTGAAACAAAGGAGGCAGCATATTCTTTCTACAGAGACTATGCTCGATTTGTAGGATTTGGCATCACAATAAAAGCCAGTCGTCGTTCAAAAAAATCTGGAAATTTCATTGATGTAAAAATTGCATGTTCTCGATTTGGTAGTAAGCGTGAGTCAAGTGTGACTGTCAATCCACGATCTTGCATAAAGACAGATTGCAAAGCAGGCATGCATATGAAGAGGACACAGGATGGGAAGTGGGTTATATACAGTTTCATAAGGGAGCATAATCATGAAATATTTCCGGATGATTTTCATAATTCTGTCCAGGGACGGAACAAACAATCCGGTGTAGTTGCATGTCAGAAGACAGGGCTCCAGTTGGCTTTAGAGGAGAATGATATGCAAGTCATGCTTGACTATTTCATGTGCATGCAGGCTGAGAATCCAAATTTCTTTTATTCATTAGATCTGGACCATCAAAATCGTTTGAGAAATGTGTTCTGGGTTGATGCGAAGGGCAGGAATGATTACAGTTTTTTCTGTGATGTCGTCTTCTTTGATACCTTCTATCTTAGAAGCAATTATAAAGTTCCTTATGCTTCCATCATTGGAATCAATAATCACTGCCAATTCATATTACTTGGATGTTCATTGATTGGAGAGCAGAGTGTATCAACTTTTGTTTGGTTAATGCAGACATGGCGTAAAGCAATGGGTGACCGAGCTCCTAATGTAATTATTACTGAGCAAGATAAATGCTTAAATGAAGCTGTTGCTGATGTATTTCCTGATACACACCACTGTTTTTGTTTATGGCATATATTGAGTAAGATGCCTGAAAATTTGTCTCGTGTTATGGATGAAGGTGAAGCTTTTATGAGCATATTCAACAAGTGCATTTATAGGTCTTGGACAGATGTGCAATTTGAAAAGAGATGGTGGAAAATGGTTGATAAATTTGAATTAAGGCAGGACGAATGGTTTCGCTCATTGTATGAAGATCGTAAAAAGTGGGTGCCGACTTACATGCAAGATATATTTTTAGCTGGAATGTCTACAACTGAACGACATGGGAGTATAGCCTCTTTCTTTGACAATTACATTCATAGAGAAGCTACATTCAAGGAGTTTATGGAACTATATAAAAAGTTTTTGCAAGATAGGATTAAAATGGAAGCCAAAGCTGATTTTGAAACACGAAACAAACAACCTGCATTGAGATCTCACTCAGCTATTGAAAAGCAAATCTCAAGACTGTATACAGAATCAGTATTCAAGAAATTTCAGGTTGAGGTATTGGGGGTAGTTTCGTGTCAGCTTCAAAAGGAAAGTGAAGATGGGGCCACTGTTAATTTCAGAGTCGATGATTTTGAAAAGCAACAGGATTTTGTTGTATCTTGGAATGAAACAGCATCAGATATTCGATGCTTATGCCGTTCATTTGACTATAGAGGTTTTCTTTGCAAGCATGCTATCCTTGTTCTTCATATGTCTGGCATCTCCAACATACCATCCCGCTATATACTAAAACGATGGACCAAAGATGCAAAAACCACTCAAGTTCTGACTGAAGTATCTAATGGCATACCTTATAGAGCACAACATTTCAATGACTTGTGCAGACGAGCCATCAAACTGTGTGAAGCTGGGTCTTTGTCTCAAGAAGCTTATCATATTGCTTTCAAGGCATTAGAAGAAATATTGGAAAGATGCGCAGGTGTTAACAACTCCATTAGGAGTGTTTTAGAGCCCAACACATTGGCTGTTCATGGTTTTCTGGACATTGAAGAAGAGAACCGTGGCAACAGTATCACTAAATCAATAAAGAAAAAGAAAATATGTAAGAAAAAAAAGGTAAGTAGAAGGTTTTTTTGTTGAACATCAGAATCTACAGTTGTATCATTCTGTTGGAAAGTTTATGGCCTTTGAAATAGATTTTCTTTCATATTATAGGTACTTACTGTACCGGAAGGGATGACTATTGGCTTGCAAGACAACTACCAGCAATTGGTTTGTCATAATTCTCCCAAGTGTTCGCTAGATTACTGCAATAGTTCATACATCTATATAATAACACGTTTATGGACTTGAAATATGCAGGACCAAATTAACTCCAGAACACATGCCACTGGAAACTGCTATGTTCCACAACAGGACATGCAAGATATGGTACGGAACATCTTATGTTTAGGAAGAAGATTGGACACAAAAATTATTTGCTAGTATGTTTGACTGGTTTTATTTTGGTTTTAATAGTTTCTTATTCCTTTGGTTGTAGGAAATGGGCTCCAGGGCAACAACAACTTTTGATGGTTTTTACGGTTCTCAACACAGCATTCGAGGAGCGGTATGGAACCTGTTGTAGTATTAACTGCACTTTTGATTTTTGAGGAAGTCTATATAATATTCATCCTTGTGATGGCTTGAAACAATCTTAATTTATACAGGAGCTCTCTTAAATTTCATATTATAATCTTAAAACTAAAAGAAAATTCTTGTCGTTTATTTGTTCTTCATTTCATTTGGCCCCACTCTAAGATTAGTTGTAGACACTAGGTAAAATTTAATAACATTAATAGTACATTGTGTTGTAACATGTTGATGTAGAACCAGAAAGAACTAAGCAAAACAAGGAACAAATCGTTAAGGAAGATAAATTAACTCTCAATAATATAATTCTCATATCAGAGTCTAATTATAACGTAAATAACTAGGCCTATCACAATGTTTTGAATAACGCTAGAAATATTAGGATTAGCAATCCTAATCTAATTAGGAATACACAATAATAAATCCCTATGATTTCTACTTTCTATATTTATATTTTTTTTTTTCCTAAAATAAGTACTCCTAAAATCCTAGAAATAGGATTTCCATCACTTGTACTGCAAAATCTCATAGTAGTAATAGTAATTTTATTTAGGTTTTTTAAACATAATTAATCTGCACCTACATTAAGCAAGCCGAGCTTTTCATTCCATATGGTTAGAAGATTTAGTTTTGACAAGTTATTTAATTAACAAATGTTTAAATGTTCAATTGGCTTGAAATTGCACGGTATTTGCATGAACGTAGCAGTCAATCCAATGATTAGTGACTGAAAATGTGAATCGCACACATATTTCAATATTTCTTCATAAATATTTTGTGCATTTTTTTAATTGCTAATCACAGGGACAACTAGACTCAGTTTCTCCAATCCGTGATGATTACTATAGTAATCAGCAGGGCTTACAAGGCTTGGTATGATGCTTTTACAATATTCTGGACCTTGTTGTTATAAAAAATTTCTGTAGCAAACTAGCAGTATAATGCGGCTTTATTGACATTTTGATCGTGTTTGTATCAAGGGGCAGTTACATTCAATACCAACATGTGTTAATTCCTATGTTGCCCAACAAAGCATGCCGGGACTGGTATTGGATTTCACTATTATTGTTATTCTATTAACCATTTTGATGTTTCTTGCAAAATAAGTAGTGACCTATCTTGGGTTTTTGGTGATTGCAGGGCCAGCTAGGCTTTAGGGCACCAACTGAACAAGACTGTTTTGAGATCCACAATAATTCACAGGATATGGTATACATTTGAAATTACTAACTAAACGTGTGTTACCTATCTTCCTCTTGTTCTCCTAATGCAGTTATAATCATTGTAGGGGCAGCCTGTTGGATCGACACAATATCCTGGCATTTCACCGAAGCTTCTGCACGATAAGCGTCTCTAAAAATTAACTCAGATACTGATATATGGATGCATTCTCAAAGTACAAAGAGTAGAAATAGAATCATCCTTTAATAAAATCCTTTAGTTGTTCCTGTTCAACAGATATTCTCTCGAGATGGAGAAAGCCGTGTTTAATTTAGATTTATTACATTCTTCTTTGCTAGCGAAAGTAGTTCTTGCACCATTCTCAAATAGAGGAAGAAAAAGAAGAAAGACCTAGGCTCTATTTGTTTCTTGGAAAATATTTTCGAAGAAAAATGTTTCCAAGCGACTCTTTTTGTTATTCGGTTGCATATTAAAAATGAGTTTAAAGGTATTAAAATTTTGTATTTATAAGACTGTAAAAATACTTGGAATTATAGAAGTTTCATATTTTAAAACATTTATTGATAAATATAAGAAAAAAAATATATAAATAAGAAATTGTGTTTGTTTCCAATGATTGGCAATGGCTTATTACTAGTGTTGATTAGTGGTAATTGATAATGATGATTACCAATAATCAATAGATTAATAGATAGAAAGTCATTTTTCTTTAAAATGTTTTAATTATTCGTTTTTGATTAATGGATTCTTCTAAGCACCGTGAATATCAGAAAATCCAAGTAAATTATTTTATGAAAAGGAAGGAGCATAGTTGTAAACAAAATTTCCTAGAGCTAAGACGCAAATCCTTACATGCGAGCAAGAGATTCATATTGAATCAGCATTTCTAGATTCACTTTGCAATTAATATTAATTGTACCTTCGTTAGCAATTGTGTTTGACTTGCTCTTTCATCAGCTCTACAGCTTTTGTTTGTTTTCCTTATCCATTTATTTACTGTATACATATTTATGTATAGTGATAGAATTTTGTAGAGTATAGAGACATTTGGTATTTAACGTCAGTTGCATGTTAGTGATCCTTATATTTTATTGCAAAGATTATAATATGTATGTATACAAAATAAATAAATATTATAAAAAATTCGATTAAAAATTTAGTTCAATTAAATCCAGGTTAAAGCCAAAAAAAACTTTGGTTTAATTTATCAGTTAAAAATGTTGCTCAAATTGACAATAATGCATAAATTGACCGCATTGAATTGGTTGAATGCTAACTCTTAAATCCTAGGAGAGATTTCATAATATTAATTTCAATCAACTACGAATGTGCAATTTGAAAATTTTTTTTCTATAAACTACTAGCTGATTTTATTTATATATTTGAATTCCATTAATCTTATAAAAATTTCTATCATTTCTTTTTCAAATTAATATTTTTAAGTAATCATTTTATTTATAATTTTTTCAAAAATAAATAACTATTCAATATTATTATAAAAAAGTTAATTTATAATTTTATTTATTTATATAACATATTAACAAAATAAAAAAATATATAAATTCACTTTAAATCCTCTACAGCTTCAAAACAGAGTTACAGAATAAGCAAGCCATGACTACCAGATGAAGCAAAAACTGTTAGATCAGACCTCCCTATTCTAATTGTGAAACTTTATGAAACATCATCAACAGAGCAGCAACAGAAGAATGTGAATTGGCAAACTAGGCCAAAAGAATTCTGTTGAAGATTATTCCTATTGGTTCTTGAATAAGCTTGATGGAACCTGTAAGGTAGAAAAATCATCAACAGAGCAGCAGCAGAAGAAATTGAAAGAGCATCAGCTTAACAGGAGGCTATATCATCTTCAAATAGTTTTCACTGCATATATCACCGATCAACACTTTTGGGATATAGAGCATGTCAAATTAGACAGAAAAAGACCCATGTCTATGCAGTGTAGTTTACAACAACAATTGAACCTTAATTCCAAATTAATTGAGATCAGTTATGTCTATTCAGTTCTGTCATAACTAAAGTACACATTAATGTCAATATGTGGTGTAGTCTAAATCTATTCAAATTTTAGAAAACGACAAATTTCAAAGAGAGAGAGATTGATTTAGTTCATTGCAAAGCAGCTAAGCCAAACATATGTTTCAATTGAAAACATGACGAAAATAGAGCAGGATCAACTGTCTCAGTTGTGAAGTCATCACCAATCTGTGAACATCAACATTCATGAATTAATGATATCATAGTTCGATAGCCACATAACTAGGGGAAGCTGGACTTGAACCTCGTATTAGTATTCAATCAATTGTATCATTTAATATAGGAAACAAGTGGATCAACTTAATTGGCTGCCAAGTTGTGCCATGCATGCCAACTCCACAACACTCAATTCCAAGCAAGATCCGAGAAGCTTTTCTTATGCATGGACCGTGTAGCTTGGTTTCATGTGGTCTAATTTGCCACTTTAAGCTTGGGGCTGTGTAGTGAAAGGGCCAAATTTCAAAGAGTTCTGTGATTATCAGCTAAATATGTAAAGATTGTGAATGCATCATCCTTCCACGATAAGTTAAGGACGGACAAGTAAAGATGGTCACAAATACAAAAGATTAAGCACATCCAGTTTATAGGAGTAAGGAAGACAAAAAGGCAAAACAAAGGATGGGCATGAACTAAAGTGATTAAGAAAGATTTAGCATTACTAGACTGGGTGTAGTACTTGGAGACAGGGTCCAAATTAGCAGAGCGGAGCTAAGATTTCACTTTCCTTTTTAGAACTTTTCAGAAGCTGTTGCATTAACAGGAATGTGGTGGTTGTAGCTATAATAACTGGTGCATCTCTTGGATGGGTAATTACAATCGTTTTATAATTAATTGGTTTCTTTAAAGGATAAAATTAAAGCAACATTATAGTTCTTATGAGTTATTCATGCTTATCAAAAATCAGGTAAAACTAAAATGAAAAAGCAAATTCATAGTATGCAAATTATCTTTGACAACCCTGATATACAGTGTATGTGACACCTTTTATTTTGCATATGGAGCCAATCAACTATGCTAAGCGTCATCCAGTTAGGAGATATCAAAGTGCAACACAAACTATCACTCATTATTATGGTTGAAGAAGATTATAAATAGGAACAATCAGACATACCTTTACATGATGAGGCATTATCTTGATATCAAAGGGTACATGGAGCCATGCTTCAGGTGGATAGTGCAAAAAGTTCTCAGGTTTACTGGTATAGACATCAGCATATTGATGGATGTGATAGGCAAAAGCAGATTCTTGACCTGTGTCAGTAAGGAAAGTGGCTCCAAAGGACTTATTAAACATTTTCTTCATTACCTCCCGCGCCTTCTGCCTCTCCTCATTTAGCTCCCCTAAAAGCAATTGATATGAGTCACTTCTCTTACAATTAGCTACAGTTGAATGCAATTTCCCAAGAAGTTCTTGAATGATATGGAATTTTGCCTGCACCAGAAGAACAGAGGATCAAATAAAGTATTATTATCTGTCAAAACAAAGAACTTCTAGCCCAGAATTTTAGTAAGATAATTGAATAGCAAACCTTATATGCCAAATAAACAATTCAAGGGCTTTTCAAATCTTTTCGATAACCATCCACCAGAGTACAGACACAACATGGAGACGGTTATTTTTTGAACTTGAACAAACAAAAATTTACAAAGAATGTTTGGTATTTTGATACTTTCATGGACACAACCATGAATACTAGGTTCAGTTATTGTCAATTTTGTCTCCATATTACGTATCTCTAATTTAAGGGTTTGTCTGCTCTCTTTATTCCTTTTTGCCACCCTCTGAATAATTTTCATTCCTCCTCTCTTATTCTCGTCCTACCCCTCAAGGTTTAACTGGCTTCAAGTATAGGAATAACAGGAGTAAAGGAACTCTACTTTGCACTCTATCCAACAAAGCTTTAATTCAAAGTATTTTAAGTTGGACTCAGGAGAATGAAAACAACACATTTCCAACGCCCAATTTCAACAACACTGAATAAAAGAACATACCTGTTCAAAACGATAAGTCTCATCATTCTGTATATGTATTTCACTCTGCATTAAGAAACAGTCCAGAGTAAGACCACTTAATAAGCTTAATTTTAAATTATTTTACAAAGATGTAACTATATGGCTGCAGAAGAGGAAGCGAAAACTGAAGGATGCGCCGCCAGGGAAAAAATAAAAAGAAAAAGAAAATCCATATTTGACCAACAATGCTAATGATGATGCCATTTAGAATACATGTTAATAGAGAAGAGTAGTTTGAAGTATTCTCAAAATTCTAATAATATAGCTTTTTTTTCTGCAAGGGAAAAGGTCAAATATCATTTAGAATTATTCGAGACTTGAAGTCAATTTTTCCCAAACTGTGGGATAATGATGCCAATAATAACAGAGAAGTTACTCATATTTGATGGTCAATTTTAGTTATTTAGCTTAACATTCTTTTATTTTCTAAGAGTTTTATTTGAAGTTTTTCTATTTATGGACAAAATTTCTTCCCATTCATTGAGTTTTTATTTTCCCCTATTTTAATAATGGATTTGGGGCTTATATTTGCCATTCTTGTTGATTCTTCTTATTGATGAATTCAAACACCAGACCAGCACCTCAATCTTTGCAATTAATTCAGTGTAGATTTTTGTTCCACAACCAAATCGCCACAAGAATCCTGAACTTGACATGTAATTCATATGATGAATTTTCACCCTCAGTCTGATTTTTCTTTCAATAACCATAGTTATTAAAGGTGCACCTCAGGCAGGCATGCCTTACTTAAGGCTCAAGGGCTTGCGCCTCAATAGTCCTCAGGCGGGCTACTCCACTCAGGCTATCACCTCTGGGTAGAGGTATGCGCCTTTTTTGCGCCTAAGGCTCAAGAAAGTGCATGTTTCTATTTTTTGTTTTCCTGAACAAGTCACCTACAATTTTCTTTTAGTATGAAGTTGTCTAGCCAACATGTGGTTACACAAAATAAATAAATAAATAAAAGAAATAAAATGCAACACAAAAATCAGTGATGTGCTTTGTGATCCAGCCTCCACTCTGCCATCTAGCACTCACCTCCTGCAATACAATTTTTAGCCAATAGCCATTCAGATATGCCTCTCTAAATTTCTTTTCCTATATTTGCTTTCTTTTTTTTTTTTTTCATTTTCTTGATTCTATTTTTTATCTTGAATTCAATATATTAAAATATAACTCGTTTTCTAACTTTTTCCCTTTTTTGGATATCTTAAAAACATAATTTTCATATTTATGTGTTTAATTTTTTTTTTTTTCTATTTTTGCGCCTCACTTCACTGAGGCCGTGCCTTGCGCCTTTAATTACTATGTCAATAACTGGAAAATTTCATATACTGTACATCTACAACAAATACTGAAGTTAGAAGGCATGATGTCAATGTAAATACAGAAACACTTATAGGAGTGTTTTTTTGCAGTTGGAAAGATGAAACATAGTTCAACCCAAGTAGTGGAAACTGGATAAGGGAATAAAGAAGGGTGAGCAGCACCTTCACCATTGGATATGTGTGCAAGTGAAGATTTTCCTTAGTTCGCTCATATCACAAGGTTGTGAGTATGCCCTAGTGCTGTGCAATGCATTCTCATCTTCCTGGATAAACAAGTCATATATTAAATTTCCTACCAAATTCCCTACCTTATATTAAATAAGGTTGTATGGATGCCCCAGCTGTGCATTGCATTCTTAGCATATACCAAATGCAGATGGTTATTAGAGGAGTGAGTGAATTCCAAAATAAATAGCTAAAACTACTTAGAGATATTCTTTAGATCAAATAGGTTATTTCCCGCCAAGAACAAGTCAGTCAAGTGCAAATATGTATTTATACTAGAGCTTGTTTGCATTATGGTTTATACATGAGACGCATTCTTAGCACCGAGAGCGAGAGAGAGCAATACTAAAAAATCTATTCACAACCATGACACCCTAGATAATAAAGCATATTGTAGGATTGGTCCTGGAGTATGAAATCTAATATTTTGCAACCAAAATCTATAGCCTGGGGCAAGAAACAAAACATAAAGTCATCTTGTCAGAACGGGCAACCATTGAAACATGCCTAAAATGCCACCAAGCATGATAAATTGCTCCAACTCCTTTTTTCTTCCCTGGAAGCAACTTAACATTTATATGAAAGGCATAGGAGAATCAATTGAGCAAAAATACCAAGTTATTGCCTCAAGTAGACATAAAATGAATCAGGTAGGACGTACTTCTAGTTCATGGATTATGGCAGCAGTGTGCCAACCAGCCTTTGAAGGCCCCCTCAAGTCACTAAATAGGTGATCACCAAAGTATATCACCTGCAAAGAGAAAGAAGCGACCATGACTTCATCAAAACAAAATAAATAAGTTAACAAGAACATTCTCTACAAAAAAAATTTGCTCGTCAGTAAAGACGTGATTAAAATTTGACTTGCTTCCGCCAGCATATAAAAGCTAGCTATACAACACAGAAAAACATATAAAACTAACAAATTGAAAAATAGAAGTGAACAGTTCATAAATATTGCTTAACTTCATATTAAACTCAACAGATATATAAGTGCACTTTTTTCCCCAGTACATCTGAATGTAATACATGAGTACTTTCCAGACGAAAAGACAAGGAAAAAAATTGTGATAGTGATTTCAAAATAGAGAAATGAAGTAAAGATGAGATGTTATAGTTCTTTGGTATCATGCTTTGCCTTTTTCTTTTCATTTATTTATTTACTTTGGAGTCTTTGGGTAGAAAGAAATGCACACATCTTCAAAAATAAGTGTTTTTTCATCAATTTTTTTCTTTGGGTAGAAAGATATCCACACATCTTAAAAATGAGTGTTTTTTCCTCGATCTTTTGTGAGACAGGGTAGAGCTTTGACTTCTTGTGGGCGTATGCTTCTGAAGCTCTGAAAAAGGTTTCGTTGAGTGTTACACAATGCATTTTTAGAATTTTTTTTTTTTTTTTGGTTCTTATTTATAGTTGTTTAATGTTGGGTTGTCCCCTGATCAGTTCACTCAAGGATTGATGAGCTGCCAGCAGTTAGGTGGTGTTGGGTAAAACTAAAAGTTAAGTATTAAAATTTAAGACATGAATTTCAGGAATTTATTAACCTACTGTATTCAGTGTAAATGTCAAGTTAAAATTTTTGACTTTTAAGTGATGCGTAGATATGCATTATCAAACAACTTAAAGCTAATAATTTTGAATATGTAATTTTAAGTGTTGAACAATATTAACAAACGCCACCTTAATCTATTTAATATGTTCCAAGAATTTAGCTTCAGCTGCTGCTTGAGGCTATAAGAATGCTAGTTGTTTAGAGGCATATGAGAAGTACTAACAAAGTCATTTTTCAAAGCATCCTCAATGTTTGCCTCTTTATTTCTCTTTCTACTTTATATTTCCTATCTGGTTTCTTGCCCTTCCTTTTCTTTGTCAGTTCCAAACACTCAAAGTTAGATCTGAATCTCATGTCCAAACATGTGGCATCAGAGCAGTAGAGCTGTTCAAAATCAACCTGCACAACCTGATATCTTTTAATTTATTAGCTATTTCATTAATCTAAAACAGCTATATATCAGCTATTCTATCCTATTCTATTGAAGATAGGATTTCTCAAAATCAAAACCAGGTTGCGCAGTTTGGATTTTGATTAGCCCTAGCTATCACCGCAGGGAATCAAAAAAAGTGCCATCTAGGTGACAAATGGATGGATTGTGTAAAGGAATAATACAAAGCTCAAAGTTGAGTCAGTCTCAGCATGATGAAGCAACAGAAAACAACACAGTAGAGTCCAGTTTCCCCATTTCAAGCCCCACATATTATGACATTTCATTGGTGAAATTCTAGAAGAAATACAAAGCAGGAAACAAAATGGTTCTGAGAAGAGTGGATTCAGTCTTACTCATTTCATCCTTTGATCAAAGGTGTTTTGCAGAAGAGTGAAAAGTTAGGACTGTCCCTAGAATAGTCACTAGAGGATGATGGCCCGACAGCAGTTACTTGTTTGTGTCTTGTGTTCCTAGAATTCAGTTGCAGCTGCTATATATGTGGCTGTAAAAGTTTTTGTTGCATCGTTCAAGAAATTCCATCTCTATCTCATTATTTCTCTTTCTAGTTCCTATTTCTTTCCTATTTTCTTGTCGTTTCCTTCCCTTTCTGAGTCCCCAAACATTCAAAGTTAGGCATCAATCTTCAGTCCTGACAGCTAACAAAACCTTTGTGTTATCAGCCAAATGAACATTTTTTCATTTCCCAAAAGTTGTGCTAAACTTTCTATTTTATATTTTTATTGGTTGAAAAATATAAAATGCACTAGAGTTTTTCTTTTAAACTCATTTAAGTTCCTGTAGGGTTGTTCTTCATAGAAACAAGATCATTAAAGAAAAACCATTGTCCATTACATGAGTATCGCTCAAAAAAACAGGTAGATACTAGATATGTTTTGCAAAAAAATTTGAACATATAGAACATCTCAATGTTCCAACATCTCAAATGCCTCCAACATTTTCAGAAAAAGAGGGGCGGACGGCAGGTAGCGAAGTAGAGAAGCATAATAAGAATTGGAGAAAATTACATTTCAGTTTGAGAACTTGAAATTCCTGAATCTACCTCAGGAACCAAATATCAGACACTTCAAGTTTTAAAAAAAATTAAAAAGGGTAGAGAAGCGTAATAAGAGTTGAAAAACCTATATTAACACTTAGTATAGGCCTTTTAAAAGCAAAAATGCAGAAAATAAACAAAAATAAGATAGAAACTACAGTTGAAGAAATGTTCATTCCCCTAAATCAAGAAGCTAATAGCAAATATATGATTCAAACTTATAGAGGAAATGTATGAAGTATGTGAGAGGTTTTACTTCTGTCGAGGAAGATTTTGAAAAAAGAACTTATTGGCATCAATGTAGATTTATCTAAGCGGGATGGAGACAAAAGATTCATAGAGCCACTCTAACTAGTTTGGGATGAAGCTTAATTCTTGTTTGTTGTTGAACTTAATTTTTTTTATAAAAGAGCAGTAGAACTTATTGGTCTTCTAAAAGAATGTCTGTGTGTGTGCTCATGCATGCACATGTTTGTTATTTGCAGTTATCCTGAAACAATTGAGAAACTATAAACAAAAGAAAATATAATTTACCTCCGGGCCATTCCACTTAGTAATTTGGAGAAAGGATTTGAGGCATCCATGGTAATAAACTTTTTCTGGGAGAAACTTATCCACCTTTGTAAAGGTTAGGGTGTCCTTTTCTGTGTCGTAACAGCTATAGAAAGTTCCAAAAGGTGGATCAATAAACTACAAGTTAGTATAACATATAACTAGAGCAAAGCAAGAGAAATAGAGTTCCAGAAGGAAGTGAAATGAGAAATTTAAAGATGCAGAATGAAGGAACTATCAGTTAGCTCAGTGCGTCTTTATAACCATTAGCAGTTTCCACTTTTTTTTTCTCATGTTTCAATTTGGAGAATGTATTAATAGATAATATTTAGAGTGATATAAAGGAAAATAACTTAGCAACATAAAAGCATAGTTAACAAATTTATTTTTATATTTCAATTGTGTATATATACTAATTCTCAGAATATTAACTGCAGCTGAGATAGGGAGGCAACAGTAATCCTCTTGAGCAGCAGTAACAACTCACAATTATCTGTCAGTACAAAAATATAGATACAATCTTTTTGTTTGCCCAACTTATTACATTTTTCATAGGTTGACTAAAAAAAACACCAATATTACCCTGATATCCACCACTATTACTTCATTATTCATGAGAGTTGCACTTCCTCCAATAAGGCCAGCAGAATATTTAATAGAGAAACTAAGAAACATGGAATGACAAACACACAAGACCATTTATAGTTTTAATCTGAACAGCAACATTATGAGAAACACGTAGACAACTCCATGGGTCGAAGTCACTAACCGGAACGGATGCTCAGACGTGTAAAAGTTAGGTTTATCGGCTTTAGCAATCACAACATCAAAAAGTTCCCTCCATGAGTTTCTGTGACCCATGCAGTCCTAATGAACATTCAAGGTAAGCCAAGGAAACTTACTATCAGTTACAGCATATGATATCAAGGACAGAGACGAAAATATTAATTTTGTAACTATGACTACAGGCAATAAATCAATAAATTAGCTGATAAACAAATAGAAATGCAAAAGTTGGACCAGTTAGTTAAGTGAGATTTCCAGACCATGTCAAACTTCTTGTATTTTCTAATACAAGCCCAAGATGAATGTGAAAACTGGTTCACAAGCATCTCCTTGCCTGTGTCTTTTTTATAAAATAAATCTCAGTTATTTTTTGATCTGCAATGCTGCATACAATTGAAAGAATGTACTTGCGCAACGAAATAATCATGCAGGCACGGCTGGATGCACAAGCACAAAAATAGGGAGGGAGAGAGACTTCATTTTTTTTCTGCAGAACCCATATAAATTGGTTAGGCAATTTACATGATCCAGCAGGCGACTAATTCAATCATTTATTCAAGTAATGCATGTTTCCAAGGTTGTCTTCGAACTCTCAGACAACAAGAACAACTTCCTGAAATAAATTGGAATTAGAACACACTCATAACCAACATCTCATAATCCCTGTGCATCTTTCCACATAAAAAAATTACCGCACAGAATGTCTAAGAAAAAAAGCTCCAAAAATATGACTTGAAAAGCAAGGAGATGCTATCAGCTCATAAGGAGTACGGTAGGTTTATTTTTTACTTTTGTCTGAAGATAACAATGGCCTGATTCCTCTTAAGCTGATTACCTCCAACAAAAACTGCATGCCTCCATCCACAAAATAATAAGGAGAGTTTGTCAACAGAAAAAGCTTCTTTCCTTTCTCTCTCAGCATCCTTAGAAAGCAAAATAGTTGTCCCTGAAACATCCACCCACTTAAGGACAGGTCAGAAGTATGACAAGAAAACCAACTCAACAAAGGCTATAAGCCATTTATAAAGCCCCAATATGTAGAAAATTGGAACATACATTTTTCACAAGATATTTATAAGGATCAGAAAGAATTCCTCTGTGAACCAACCCACTACGATGAACATGCTGAATTGCACGATTTACATCTTGATAGATGTATGATGCATCAAATTCCAGCTTGGCATCTACAAAATGTTGCACTACATCTGCAATAAGGCATGCCTGCAAAATGAGAACGAAAACAAAATATTGATGGATTTGTAGAGAGAGAAAAACACAAACAAACTTAAACAACAAAAAAAGTTTCTAGAAATCGCCCATTCATAAACAAGGTTAGAATGCTGCAAGTGCTCCCCACCCATCCAACCCTGCCCTCCCTCTCTCACACACAGAATGGAAGTGTAGTTAACAATTGCAAAACACCATCGACATGAGCATGTAAACACCCATAGATTCATATATATCTTTGACAAATATACGGATATCATGTGTCCCAGCATGCTCCTAACCTTACATGTGCCCCTAGTTTCTTGATATCATGTTCAAGCCACAGTTACAATTACCACAAAACTCCACGAGTTTATTCCTCAAAATTCATAGAGAAAAACAAGGCAAAACTAACCTCACTAAAGCAAAAGAAATCCATCAAGCCAACAAGCCCACGTGCTTGATCACGACCGATATGCCGTGTACCATATATCTGTTCTATTTCCTTATGCGTGAGCTGTAAAAAGAAAGATATGATAAGTACCAGTATTTACATTAGGAACCAAATACATCACTAATCATTTGGACAACAAAATTATAAAATTCAATGCAATGGAAGTTCTTCGAACTTCCAGGAAAAATTTATGTTTTTAGTGTCTAAGGCTCTTACAACTCAAGAAATTAAGGTAAAAAAATTCAAATCTGATAATATGCACAGTATCAGAGCAAACCAATATAAGCGACATAATAACATGATATTGGACTGACTCCTGTCAAGAAAACTTCATACTTGCCACTATGCTAGTAGCTTAGGTTAGAGGTCCAATCCTTGGTACCCTCTTCCTCTATAAAATTTTTAGTGGACCAAAAAGAAAGCCTCAAATTTTTAGGGTTTGAATTTCCTCACCCAACTCAACAGATCATGGCTGCTGAAATCTGAAATGATAAAGCACTGCATACGTTGTTGATTATAGCTCACTCAAAATTAACCCACAAACTTCGAGTGGGTTCCAAATCCAATCAAATTTAGACTCCTAATAAAGACCTGTCCTTTAAAGACTACTACACCAACTAGGGCTATCAGTATGACTTAAAACAAACTAAATTTAAGACTTATAAAGCTATAAATCAGCTCATCCTTGCAAAACTAACAAAATTACCAAAATAAACTTGATGTTGAGCCAACAACAAATAATTATTATGATTCCATATGAAAAACTGTAAACCATTTATCCAACCAAGCCCAATATCTATCAAGCTAAGTTGCAATTGAAACCCTGTATACTGAATAGAGGATATAAGAGTGTTATACAGCTATGAATGAAAGTTTCAAATCCAGAGTTATTTACCAATCCTAATTTCAAATGGGGAAAAGAAAAACAAAAATTCCTTTTCCATGTAGTGGAATTATCAAGAGAATTTCATGATAGGAATTCAAGGTTCTACAGTGATGAGAATTCTTAAGGATACAGAAAAAGATAACCTGCTCTGCTCAATATAGACAGGTATAGAAATGAAAATCATTTATGTCGTCTCATGTAGAGTCCAGGACTGAACAAGGCAGCACATGTTTGTAGTCCTTGGCAGAATATTAAAAGTGGAGTTCGAGGGCCTTTTATACTGGTTCGAAAATTGAGTTTGAGCAGGTCATTTTTGGCAACTATAATTTTCTTTGATGGCCATGTCAATATAATGAACAAAAGCATTATGGATAACAATGGTAACAAATTACAAACATTAGCAAGCTTACGTTAGAATAAGCAGAAGGATACCTTGCGATGCCCATAGTAGCATCCATCAGGTTCAATCGACCCAAAGAAATCCAACTTCAAGAGACACCCATTTTTCTTGTCATAGTAGAGACCTCTTATAGGAAACGTTGGATCATATTTGAAATCCATACATCTCTCAGGATATCTAAACTGCAATTAAGCCAATGGAAAGAAAAATTAATCATAAAACAGTCGGTCAAACAATATTTTAACAGAAATTAAAGGAAAAAAAATTAAAAAGCCTAAACTAACCTCATTAACCATATGCTCCTTGGCAAGATCATATATCAAATTCTGTAAATTAGCAGAGTAATGTGCCAATGTATAGTCGTAATCAAACCCATAAACTTGGATGCTATCCAATCTCAGATTCTTATTAACATATATGCCTAAGTCATCAAATAAGAACTATCAACAACTATCAAATATAAATAAGTATAAAAAAAATCAGTTAAGATATTAAAGAACCTTCGGGATCCATTTTAGGCATTCCCTTAAGGGCCTCGGGAATCTTGAGGAAACACTGTTTCGCTGCATCGAACTCGCGGCGAATTTTCGCTACTTCCTCATCATCAAGAACTGAGTTGCCACCTGCTTCACAACTCCTGTCTTCATTCTCCAATTTCAATAGCGTTGCTTCGGTCGAATGGACGGCATTGTAACTGCGAGGGCTTCCTGCAAACCCTAAGTTGAAGTAGACACCGGAAGGAGAAACGTTTGTTTTCTGCGAGCAAAAGGAGCAAAAAATATCAGAATATGGTATATATACGTAGGAGAGGAAGAGAAAGCATACTCACTTGGAAGAAGGAGCGAAGTGGAACAAGCTTCCGAAAGGACGCCATGCGCATTAAAGCTTGTTGAACCGTAGCTGTGGAAGAGTGATATTCTAACACTCTGTTTGTATGGGGCGAGGGAACGATAATTAATGGAAGGGTAAGCAAGGGTAGCGACAGTTCTGGACCGCCGGTTCTGATTCCAAAACCAATCGTTCTGGTTCGAAATAATGTGAAATCAAAATTGAACCAAAAACTCACAGTTTTAACTTTAGTTTGCAGCCGGCCAATTACGGTTGTTATTACGGTATCAAAATTGACGGTTCTGGAGGATTCTTCGATTGATTTTTTGAACAGTTCGCATAATTTTAAAACTAAAAAATCTAATTTGTATAAAATACCCTTAATATAACTGAACATTATATAGCCATATTGTTATGAGGGTTAACTTGGAGATTTTGATAAAAAATTTTAAAAAAAAACTAAAAAAATTATGTTGGAATTGGTTGGAACTGCCGGTTCTGACCAGTTGCAAACCTTCGATTCACGATTCTAAAAAATTAAAAATCAGAAGCGAATTGCATATTTTCAATTACAGTTCCGGTTCTAGTTAGTTCCGATTTTGTGCAGTTTCGGTTCTGATTCCAATCAGTTCCAAACTGACGGTTCTTGTTCCAAAAATAAAAATTTGGCCACTCTGTTATTTTTTCATTTGTTTAGTAATTTCTATAATGATTTATAATTGCTCTAACAAAATAATATATAAAAAAAGAGAAATGAAATTAAGTCTCGACTAAATCCAAAAAATATGATATCAAACTCAATATTCACTTCACATAATGAGAAGGATAACAAGCAATAATTCACATAAAATAAAAAATAAAATTTATAGCAAATGTCAATAAAAATTCAAAATAGTCTACCAAAAACGTATATCAAGAAAATAACCAGCAACCTAACCCAAAAATAGATATAAAGCTTTAGATGATGTTCATAACATCCAGAAATAGTTACTTAAACATGCATGTTATGATTAGCATAATAAGGAAATACTAATCAAAAGATAACGGACAATCTAACTTTGTTAGGTATCAGTATCACCCATCATCTATATCAACAAGTCTTTGCGAAATGCACTAGGATATCCAAGCAAACCTCACAACATGTCAGGCTTTTGAATAAAAAATAGATAGTAAGAAGATAAGAGATGTGGCTCAACACCTAATTTTTCCAACAAAATCCATGTTTCATTCTCGGAAATTGGAAGCTTGGTTGCTTTTACAAATTCAACTGTAGAGTTCATGATTGCTTGTGCCACATTGTCGAGTCTCTCCTTTAACACAACAACTTCCTCATCAACTTTTGATCTTTTAGCACTTTTAGTCCTTAATGAATTTCTAGATTCACAATGAGCCTGGAATCTTTCCATTGTAACAGGTTCTTCGAATGCTATATTTGTGCTTCTTCAAATGGTCCATCAAAATTTTTTCAGGTGACTTCATTTTATGATACTAACAAATCAATATTAGCAATATTATTCACCTTAGAAGTATTTGTCTCTTCTTCCCTAGCCTTTCTTTGCCTCACCTTTGCTGCAGTTTCAGCATGTTTTCCAGTAGCCCTATCATTCCCATAAAGTAAACACATGTTCTCATAGTTTAGCAATGATTTGTTCATCCATGTAGCAACTTCAGGTTTAGCCTAACAAACAAAGTAATGTTTAAATTAAGGAACTCAAGATAAAAATAAGCAAGATTAAATAATAAGATATATTACATTATAAGAGTAATGCAAACCGTAATTAATTGGTCCCAAACTTCTTGCTCAACTGGATACTTTTCAGATATTGGATCCCAAGCAAAACTATCATACCATTCTTGAAAATATCATAAGCTGGAAACCAACATTTTTTTATACGCTTCATTTGTTTCGTGCATTTTTCCTTATCAATAGGCTAATCAAGATATTTGTTTCACTTCTTTGGCAATATTTGTGAATAAAAGTACATCTAACTTGTAAGGGTTATTAAGATTACCTTCAGGAAATTTGATTGACAATTGTCTTATTAAAGTATTTTTCATAATTCTAGAGTCAAAAGCCGTACCTTCCCACCCAGATAAGACATAAGTGAATTTTAAATCGAAAATACATGCAGCTAGCCAGTTTGTATTGGATGCTCTTTCCTACCCTGGTATCTTGGAGCTTCTGAAGGAGAAGCATTAACATGAATAAATACTCCATCAATAGCCCTTACACAATCCTGACATTATGTATATATCTTTTAATTTATGAAATATATCATGAAGACTCGCTGTTTAAATTTAATTCAGAAATTAATTTCACCTTAAAAAAGGGGTAGAACCTATCGTTATTCAATGCTTCAAATGGAATATGTGACCCCTCTAGTTGCTTGAGAAATTTGTCCTCCAACTCTAGTATAGCTCTTACGATGTTATGAAAATGACAACTAATAGTTTAACTAGATCGAGGAAAAAGAAAGCAAGCTCACAATTTGTGACATTATGAGTTATAAGGTAGAGTGATTGAAGAACTTGTTCTTCAATAGTTGCTCGTATTGTTGGTTGAAGATTCCCATATTTAACTAGAATTTCATATAATTTTATGAAAGCTATTTGACTCATTTTTATAATACTACGACAAAGTTCACTAGAAAGGATACTGTGAATAACTTAGATCTTACTTTTTCTCCTTCTAAATAGATATTATGACCTAGTCATCTTTTAACCTCTCTCCTTTTTAAGCCATACCAATACATAATTATACAAATAACTTGTGCAATTGCATATGATGCTTTCGTTTCAACTTCATAAAAGCATTATCTTCAAACTTATGAGTATCTATCTATTATATATCAAAAGCAATGTTAGGCAACTAAAATTAATAATCCACCATAACTTCTACTTATTTTATTATTTTATTTGATTTGATGACACTTTTATTTTTATTTTAGTTCAGTTTTTAAAATTCCATATTTATAAACTTTGGATATAGAAACTAAAACTTGCAGTAATAAAATTTTAAGAAAATAAAACCTGCACTAAATTTAATTTTATTATTTTATCAATTATTTAATTGAAAACTCAAAAAACTGTTTGATTATTAGTGGACAAAAACTAACTATAGATAAAACTTCAAAGAAACAGTAACAAATAAGGAATATAAAAGCACAATGATGAAGGCAAAAAAAAAGAAAATAATAAAACTGAATTAAACTTCTTGTTGATAACATGAAGATCATACAAGATTTAGATAATATAATAAGTTTTCTTTATCTTTAGCTCATTACCAGTATATTTATGATAACAAATAAACATGTGTATTGTTAATAAGATATAAAAGAGATAAAATGTGTAAGAAAATCACATACATATTGAGACACAAATGCTTGAATAGTACGACAGAGAGGCAAAACGTTTGAGGTTTGTAGAAAAGAGACGTTGGAGGGTTTTATTTATTTGATGAGTTTAGGTTTAACTATAAGGGATAAAATATGATTTTAATAAAAAACAAAGAATATAATAGGAAACTAAAAAATAAATTAATTTTAAATTCCTTCCTCTCCTCCCTTACACCTGATTTGGGGTAAAATAAAATTTGAAATTTGAGACGTAAAGATGGTAAGACTTACCCTTATTTACCCTCATCCTTTCTTAACTCTTCCTTTTCCAAATGGGGATATATATCTTAATTACCATTCCTTCCTTTTATATACCCCTCCTTCACCTCCAATCAAATAGAGTGTAAAATGAGGGGAGGAAAAAGATGGTAATAATAGAGAAACAAAGTGAAAAATTATTTTGTCAATTTTTTCTATTGGCAAAATTGATTGTTTTAGCAGGATTTAGTTCAACAATTCAACTTTAGATATCAATAGATGATGGTTGCTAATATTGTGGTATTAATAGTTGGTGGCTGATAGTGGTTAGCCATAGAATGTTGGTCTTTGATAAAATTTTAATAGCAACATTTTTTCTAGACTTAAAATGGTAGAATTATTATTGGTCATTAAGCCGTAAACCATCAATAATACAAATCTGAGGTAAAATAAACTATTCCACAAAATCTAACAAAGAATGGGAAGCCTTTGCAAGAGCATGAGCTACTCCATTCTCAAATTGAAAAAAAAAAAAAAAAAAAAAAACTAACAAAGAATGGAAGCCTTTGCAAGAGCATGGAGCTACTCCTTCTCAAAATTGAAAAAAAAAAAAAAAAAAAAACAAGGTGACAACTATTAATTGGGAGCTGCTTTAAAATATAAAATGACAAATTAAATATGGTAATTACTTTACGTATTGTTGATAGTGCGTGTGTGTATATATATAAATATATATAATAAATATATATAATATATATATAAACTTTATTTAAGTAAATAAATTATTTTTTATTTTTATGTATATTATAAAATAAAATATTAATTGAATTTTTAAAATAATATTTAATAGGAAAATGTTTTTTGGAAAATTATAATCATACGATTATATTTTGTCAGAATTAACTATTTTACCCTTGTATTTTGTAGAATACACTTCTATGTCCTCATGTTTTCAACCTATTAAACAATGTTCCCCTTCCGTTTATTTTATGCGCTCTTAGACATTAAATTGCTATGAAATGACTTAAATGACCCTAACTAAAAGACATAAACAGTTTTCTGTTGGTTAAAGGGTCAAATATTAATCTCGAGATTTTGATGATTAAAACAAAACAAATAAATTTAAGTTATATTATTTGTGCTATTAATATTTTATGCAGATTACATATGGAAAGTAATAAATGAATAAGGCAAGTCCTACAAATTCAAGAATTGTGAAGACATTTGAATTGTGAAGACATTTGAAGACCCTAGTGGTTAGATTTTTTAGGATTCATTGTAGGATAAAGAGAACATCCAATTATAAGCACAAAATCAATTTTCTCTCACCTTATCAAAAGGATTTTTTTGAAAATATCTCTTTAAAGTAAAACCTTTTCTTTCATTCCTTGATTATCTTACCTAAAATGGAGGAGATCTTGTCTCAAATATTTTTGGTAATAAAAATCTTAGAAAAAACTTGTTTTAGTTTTTTGGAAATGTTTTTTTTTAAGGTTCGAAATATTCAATTACCTAAATTGAAGAGACTTTGTCTCAAAC